AACGTATTTCAGTTTTTTGGGCACAAAGATCAGAGAATGGGGAACATTAAGTTGTCTTTTGCTTAACATATTGTAAATTTACATTGCTGTGTAATTGAGTAGTTAATTAAAAATAAACAACCATCACAGCTTTGTGGAAAATTTGTTTTAGTTGATGATTGATTCATTCTGAAAATTTGGGTGACAAAGAAAATTTTTGGGCAATTAGCCTCATCACCACCAACTGAGATTGGCCCCCTATGCCTATGGGTGTTATGTCTATTGCAAGAAGACACTTGAAAAGTTATTTTCTCCTTTCAGACAATTATTTGACTGGCAATTGTGGGGGGAGTCTAGCATTGAACTTTATTCAAGAAATTTTATGCTTGCAGTTCATATTCTATGGAAGTAACGAGTTAACTATATTAAGTATAATAATACTTTACATGGTATACTGAAAATGAAATGAAATGGGGTTTAACATCCCACTGTTCTGAACTGGGCTAATGAAGACGGGCATATGCCATACAGTGTGCTATGGGGGGAATTTTGCCCGGAGAGCGACACTACGGCCTACTCTTATATCAAATTCTAACTGTCAAGAGATGTTCTACGTGCATGCCAATGTGTACACGGGACCTCGGTTTTTCTTCCCATCTGAACGACTAGACAGCTGTCTTTGTCAGACCCTCCCTCCTGCATCACTGACAAGGGGGAACCAAGCTGGAAAATCTGGATGAACTTTCTTGGCCAATGCAGGGATTAAACACCCGACCTCCAGGCTAGCGAGCCAGCGTCTTACCCACTCAGCCCCCGTGACTACTATAGCACTGTTGGATATCATTTTAACCTTCAAAAAGACAACCTATAATGATGTACCAATGAATTTAACTACATCCGTTCCTAGATTGGTTGACGCAGAAAATTAAGACGTTAAACTCCATTTCATTTCATATTCAAAATACAGTAATATCCAATAACATTCCCAAGAGATCAGTTCAAATACTTCAAACTTCAGAAGTACAGAATATAATTAGTGATAGGTAATGTTTACAAGGCAGAGTTTATGCTTACTATTTAGAAACTGATACTATTTCTAAATTATCTGGGAACTTAACACGGCTAGCCTGTAATTCTTCAAGAAAGAGTAGTGAAGCATTCAGTGAGAAACAATGGGTTGCTGGAAATAGTTGCAAATATATATTAAGATTATGAAATAATTCATTAATGGAAAAAAAAATAAAACATATAAAATATCCACAACCAATCACATACAAGTACATAGAAAAAAAATATATCTTGTTTACAAATGAACAACATATTCTTTCTATATTAAAACAAGTTTTAAACTTGAAATACTGACACCTGAACATCTCATTCTAGTTTAAATTCAATAAACAATTACTCTGCTAAGACTAGTATTTCATTCAAAGAGAAAATTTAATGGAACCAGGAGAGGCGCACAACTTCTTGAATCAAGCTTTAAAAACAAGCGGTTGCCATGCAAGATACGCCCACATTTTGCAAGAAATGGACAGAGAAAGAGCTAAAAACAATAATGTGATTTTTTGTACAATCAGGAGCCATAATCCAGGAAGTAATGGTCCATTATGCGCGAATATCGACAGAAACCAAGATCTTTTGGTTATACACATACATTTCAAGTTTCATTAAAATCGAATAAAAATTATGACTTCTAGAGGGTCCACAACCTTGGTATTAAATACTTTTACACTATTTGCATACATTTCAAAATTCGAACTCCACCATCATCAGGTTGTAACGGTGATACATTGGAATGTTTTTTAAATCGGATAAAAATTGTAACCTCTAGAGGGACCACATGCTAATAACAAGCGGTTGCCATGCAATATACACCAACCTTTCGCAAAAGATGGACAGACAACGAGCTAAAAAAATAATGGGATTTTTTGTACAATCAGGGGCCATAATCTAGGAAGATACGGTCTGATATGCGCGAATATCGAAAGGAACGGAGATCTTTGGGTTATAAACATACATCTTAAGTTTCATCAAAATTGGATAAAAAATGTGACCTGTAGAGGTTCCACAAACTAATTGTGGGCGGATGGACAGGGGCGATGACAATATACGTCCACATGAAAATAATATTATATTCTTACACTTTACTTGTACTGGAATAATTGTGCCATGTGTATGTGTTTTACTTGACAAAATATGTGTGACAGTACTGAAATACATGAGGCAGATGTGAACGAGTTGTACTGGAATAAGTGTGACATTGGTATGTGTGTGAAATAGCTTTATTTAACATCCGCTTCCACAGAAGCACTGGATTGAGTACCAGAGATGTGTAGGCCTATGTGTTATACAGGAATAGGTCTGACAGAATGTGTATGTGGTGTTCTGAAAAAAGTGTGACAGGTGTGTAAGTGCTGTACTGGAATAATCGTGGCAGGTGTGTACATGTTGTACTGGAATAAGTGTGACAGATGTGTATATGTTGTACAGGAATAGGACTGATGTGTATATGTTGTACAGGAATAGGTCTGATGTGTATATGGTGTACGGAAAAAGTGTGACAGATGTGTATGTGTTGTACAGGAATAGGTCTGACAGATGTGTATGTGTTGTAGCCTACTGGAATATGTGTGACAGATGTGTATGTGGGATTGTGTTGTACAGTATGTGTGACATATGTGTATGTGTTGTACTAAAATATGTTGGACAGATGTCTATGTGTTGTACTAGAATAGGTGTGACAAATGTGTATGTGGTGTACTTGAATAAGTGTGACAAATGTTTATGTGTTGAACAGTGGTTTATGACCCAAGTCACTTGTTTGGGTATTTCATGACTATATTATCAGCTGGTAAAAAATAGAAATGTTGTTCATTGAAACAAGACACTTTTTAAACTGTACAATGAGCATTAGATAAGCAATAATAAAAAAAATAGCATTTGACCTCAAAAATGACAAATACATATATATATGATTTAACAACATGATTATGATAATTAATAAATTAATAAATTAATAATATGGGGTTTCTCTAAAATATTTTGGGAAACTGCATGTTCATTGGTGGGAGATAAAAAATCTTGCAAATATTTTACATGTCAGCTAATGAGAAGTCAGTATTCTTAAAATATTTCATGAATACTAGTAAGACACCACTACAGGGAACATAAACAAAGGGATCTGAAACTATTCGACACAATCTACATCAATCATATTTATTTCATAATTTTAAACCGATTTATATTGAGATGAAAAAAATCAAAGTCTTGATCTGATTAAACCTTGAACTGGTAGTGTACTTCAACTCAGAAATACAAATTTAATCTTTTAGGGCTTGTCTCATCACAAATTGAAACATCACCTCAATCCATTAAATTCTATTTTGATCTAAAGCACAGGTATTTCCCCTTCAACGTTTTGATAATTCTATACTTCAAAATGTTTCATTCATTGCTATTTTACCATTTTGAGTGGCATACCTAAGGTATTTAAGGTGTCCTGGGTGCCACTTTAATAAGATTGCTTACCATAGCCCATATTTTCCATAGGTATCCCCTAGAATGCATGAGTTTTTACTCCTCTGATCTATTCCCTCACATATAATCAACAAGATAACAATGACATTTTCTAATTAAAACATAAAATTTAAGTGATGGAAGAACTGTTTTCAAAAAGGGGTTGCCAGGCAACACAACATACCACAGCAGCTAAGTTGTTTGAGCAGTCCATAAACCACATAAAAACTTACAATATCAAGTGCTGCAATTAAGTAATTGCCAGAAATTATTGAATTAGATAAGCATCTAATGTAAACAAAACATATGCCATAGATAAGATGATACCTTAGCTGATTGTTCGAAATTGTTGACAAGCGGTTGCCATACAAGACACGCACACATTTTGCAAGTGATAGACACAGAACAAGCTAAAAAAAAGAAGCGATTTTCTGTAAATCAGGGGCCATAATTCAGTAAGTTACGGTCCGATATGCATGAATATGAACAGAAATCTAGGTCTTCGGGGTATAAACATGCATTTTCAGTTTCATCAAAATCGGATCAAATTTGTGACCTCTAGAGGGTCCACAACCTTATATTACATACTTTTACACTATCTGCGTACAAGGAGTGGCCATTTTGTCCGGCATTTTCGATCTGATATTTACAAAAGTCAAACTCAACCAACATTATGGTGTAACAGTGATATATTTAAATGGTTTTTAAAATCGGATAACAATTGTGACCTCTAGAGGGCCCAAAATCTAAAAATACGATTTTTCGTACAATCAAGGGCAATGATCCAGGAAGTAATGGTATATCTAAAGGAACTGAGATCTTTGTAATATAAACATCGGATAAAAATTGTGAAATCCAGAGGGTCAACAGCCTTGATATACCATATTACACTATTTGCGTACAAGGGGTGGCCATTTTGTCAGGCAGTTTTGTTACGATTTTTACAAAATTTTAACTCAACTTTCATTATGGTGTAACAGTGACATATATAAACCTTTTTCAAATTAAATACAAATTGTGACTTCTAGAGGGACGACGAGTTAAAAACGCGATTTTTCGAACAATCAGGGGCCATAATTCAGGAAATTACAATCCGTTTTGCGCGAATACCAGAGGAACCAAGATCTTTGGGTTATAAAAACGCATTTCAAGTTTCATCAAAATCGGATGAAAATTTTGAGGTCTAGAGTGTCCACAAGCTAAAAACGTGATTTTTCGTACAACTGGGCCATAATCAATGAAGTTACACTCCGATACAAGCCAATATCGAAAAGAACCAAGATCTTTGGGAGGTAGACCTATATTCCAAGTTTCGTCCTCAAACAAAATGTGAATGGTTGATGGGATGGGAGCCACGACAATATCCGTCCACATGAAAATGTGGCTGTAAAAAAATTAATTGGCATTTACAGAAATGCTGAATATAAATTTAAAATCAATCATGGAACTATTGGAAATCATTGAAAATAATAGAATTTTTCATCTCGCGAAATCATGGCGATCATATTCTTTGTCTCATGATATGAACATAAACAACGTTTTCATCAGACGATAATTTTAGCCTGCAGATTGTCTACACAGTTTACCAAAGTGATCAAGGGCCTTAACTCCTGTGGCAATTATCAGAAATTATTGAAAATCAACATGAAAATCAACCCTGTGCATAAATTTCATGTCAATTAAAGGAAAACTTCAGAATATAGAGAGCATCCACAAGATTTTTCACAGTCATCAAGGGTCATAACCCCATAACTATAACAGTAATTATTGGAAATCTTTAGCCTTTAGAGCATCCTTAAGCAATCATGGCTGACGGACCGACATACGACAATACTTCAATGTGGGTGTATCAAAATCTAATATGATTAATGGTTGATGACAGAGATTGCCAATAGGTTCTCTGGCATCAAATATATTTACAGGGTCTTTTTCAGTAAGGCTCTTAATTCAACATTTTATTAGGCAGACAATTTTTGGCACATCGTTTCATTCCAAAGAGTTTTTATTCAGAATCATCAGAAAATGTATTTTTAGTAAAAGACTCATGCATAGTATGGTTTATTTAAACCTTGTAGTACCAGACATGTTTTGATGTCATGACCGGGAATACAAGGCATGTTTGACAATATCACGGACTATCTAGCTGTCAAGTTTGAGAGGTTGTTTATAGATCAAGTATAAAAATAAGATAGACCATTTTAGTTATTGAGAAGTTTGTTGTACTAATATATTAATATAACATTTTTTTTAATATTTCTCACAATTATGTCAAATTTAGTTCAATTCATACATCATCATCTGTATTCGTTGTATTAAGCCATTTTGATGTTTAGGCTTTGACTAAAACTTCAGCAGATAATTAAAGCGAAAAGCGATGTCTTGAATCAGAACATGTATTTCAATTTCTAAAAACAAGATAAACACACATCAAAATATCTCCATTCTTAATTGGCTATCAATGGGCCATCTGAATGATTTAAATGACAGAAATTTTCAACACTTGATACAGTAGGGATAAAAAAACAAAAAGCTGTTGATCCCATGACACTGAAAGGGTAATGCTGGAATCTACCAAAATAATTTATAGCCATTTTACTTTGTCTGGCCAGTAAATATCTCAAGTAGTCAACAATCACTGATAAAAGAGCCCCATTGATCATAAATAAAAATATTCTAAAATGCACATTTTTTTGCTGGGAATTCATTGACTAGAAAACATTTGAAGCACATACAGCAGATTTAGCATGGCCAAACCCTAGGAATCAGTGAGTCAAACTGTGTTTTACACAATAAAGAAAAAAGTAACAAGTTCCACTATAAGTGGTCAATTGGTGTTTCCACTTATACAATAGAATGCTATCCACTACTGTCTAATAGAGTATTTAATTCATTCTCGTCTATTCTGTGATATTACCCCAGGTGGAAGCAGACCACAACTAGCTAGTAGCAGTACTGCTATGGGTTCACTTTGATAACATTTTCAGATCTTCTTTTAAATTTGCTTTTCTTTTTTGTGGGGTTTAAAGCATACTTATGTTGACTTCATTTTTACACTGGCCGTATACAAATTATTCTGGGTTCACCACAGAAAACATCAAAATGTTATTGTAAGTTAACATTATAATCACAATATACTACTTTATCTAATTGGAATTTTAGGATAAAAAATAAGGCAATGTATCTAATACCTAATGTATACAAGTACTTCAGAATTTTCACCATAACTTTTACTTGCAGTTTGATTTCCATTATTTTTGCATTTGTTTGGTATTAATGCAATGCGATAAGTTTAAAAAAAATTAAATTACACCAATCTAAATTTAGTTTCATGTTTATGGTTGTTTGTTTGCATTGTGATTCACATCTGAAGTTAACTTTTTGAGTCACTAATCCACTTGGTGTATCTTTGAACACTGATATTTTGGGCAATTTGCTTTGGGTAAAAAAGTACAATTGTGAGCTGAAGGTTTGGGTAAAAACCCAATGTAACACAATTTCTTAAACATGTTTGCTGTACCATTTTGTCTACTACACAAACACTAATCCTGTCACCGTGAACACAAATTTTCATCTCAACATAATTTGCTTTAATTAATTCCAAGTGAACACAGCATTATTTTAGACATCAGATATCTTTTGAATACATGAAAATGCTGAGAGTAGAGATATGACTTTTCTTTTCTGACCTACACAATTATTTTCTGAACTACACCATGCACAATCTTACACATATATTTTTTCAGCAATGAAGACATCTGTTGTTCCTATTAATTCCTGTTATATATTGTTTTGTGGAACTGTTTCTGGTAGTCTAGATGGTGGTATAGCAGAATATGGTGATCATTTGTGGAATGCATGACATCAGAAAGGCGTTGTTACTTTACCAGAAGAAGGTGTTGGATCTTTAAAATTAACATGATCTAAAAATAAAAAGATAGTTTCTGACAGAACATTACAGTTTCTTACATGTGGATTACAAAGACCAATATTATTTATGCCTTTTAAAGATATTTCTTTAAGCATATATTTCTAATGGCATATGATAGATTCATATTACATAGTAAGCCCAAAATCATCCATAATCAGTCATCAATATCTCATGCCCTTGTATACCAAACTTTGGTTCCATGGAAAGTTACAAAATTCAATATATATATCTATAGTAATCATAAGACACAACTCCTTAGGAATAATGAAACATGAAATATTTTTATCAAAACACATTCGACCTGTAGGTTGGACATTTAAATGTACAAATCGATGGACAATAAACAATATAAATTCATCTTGAAAAGAGAAGGTCTGAATGGAGCTACTGCATTCTGGAAATGCTCTTCACATGTAGTAGAACATACTGGGCAGAGTTTATAAAATTCAAGTAAAAAACCTTTCTATTTTTTAAATAAATACCTTGTTAAAATTGTGTTTCACATATTTACTTTCAAACTAAGATCTACCATCATCTCTGAAACAAAAGATTATAATTAAATCACAATATCCTTTTGTGGGAAATCATCACCAGCTTCTCAAGAGTGAGATCAAGTGCAGGTGGGATGTTACTCTCCAGTGATGTAAATGAAATTAGGTCTAACATCTTACTCTGTTGCACCAACTGAACAAATGAAGACAAACATACGAAATATGCAGTGTGCTATGAGGGAAATTTTGTCTGAACTTACACCAGCAACACTGCAAGAGAACCTGGAATCTCCTGATTGGTGAGCCTGCATCATACTCACTGGGCCAGAGATGTCATCAACTTCATTGGAATAAATCTGAATAACCAACATACCTTCCACGTGGTTCTGGGGTAGAAGTTATCAATAAATGCAACAAGTTATTGCACAGGGGGTATGGTCCTGGACTCGGGGATATTGTGCTCATTTTTAGTCTAAATATGGTCATTTTTTTTATTGTTTATGGTTATGTACGTTCAGAAATCGTTTCGAGCACAGCAGCTTTTTACTATTTCACTATACTTTGGATTTCAACTGCAAGGTCATCTTTAACATGCACTACCAATTATGACTCACAGTTTTCTCTTCTTGACATATGGTGGCATTGAAATCTACTCCTAACCACATAGAGACTAATCTAAAAACAGAGATACAAGGGCACAAACAAAAAACAAAAAAATCTCACCAGTTATTATCTTGAACGAGTGGTTCCACACCAGTTGATGTACTGTTTGTAACATCTATATGAAACAAATAACTAAATCTATAAGCAACTACTAATATACACAGAAAACATACAGGACTCAACATTATTACAGGTGAGCCAACTAAGAGTGAATCTCAGGTGAGCCAAATAAGAGTGAATATTAGGTGAGCCAAATGAAGAGTGAATCGCAGGTGAGGCAAATGAAGAGTGAACCATAATGAAGAGTGAATCTCAAGTAAATTCAGAATCCATCATCCAATCCATCCGTGAACTGGACCTGTTCTCAAGGTATCTGTTTATTGATTGTGACTATGAGAAACTGACTTTTTAAACACATAAAACAATCAATTTGGTGTAAATCCTATTTTGTTTGTTTGATGAAAAATCATTACACACATCATTTTTGTTACATATATACATTTTGATATAACATATGTTTTTGTTGGCCTAATAATATGTCAATCAGATAAAAGATTTAGAAAAAATAATTATTCTGAAAAAGCAAAAAAGCGAATATTGTAAAACATTCCTGACTTCCCACTACAACAGGTTTTAAACATACAAGTTTTGTTTTTTGATAATTAATCAATAGGCCTACTTAAATAAAACTGAAATGGGTGTAACCATTTCCGCGGAGTGGCACTTTCAAAATGTCAACAATTAGTGCAGACAATGGGTACATCCAAAGCAGGGCTTTTACTTTAAAATTTTGCCAGTCGGTCAGTTTTTTACTTATTATGTTTATATTGAATTAACAAGATGTTTTTTTCCAAAAGATTTTAGCATACTCTCAATTTTAATATATATTTTTTAAGTGTCAATCTGTATTTATCGTGTCTTAATAAAATGTACAGTTTTTGAAATTTTAATTTCATGGCATGTAAATTGATTGACAGGTAAGTTCTCCAGGTCAAAGGGAGGTAATCAGGCTTTACCTGTATCCTAGAGACCGGGATAGTAATTGTGTCGCGCTTTGAGCATAAACTTAGTTTGTGGATATAGCGCATTATAAATATGCACATTATTATTATTATAATTTCACTGCCAGTCAGTCAAGACTTCTAAATATGACTGAAACTTGAGCCCTGATCTAAAGCATAGTGTCCTAATAGTTAGTCGGATAAAGACTAATAGATATTATACTAACCATATGCTTTTTCAACTGGTTGGAATGGAATAGAATTTAATGTGTCATCAGCACTTTATATAATACATTTTTACACATGCATACAGTTTTTTGTTTTACCATTCTATGAGGTGGGAGGTGAATTTTCCAGGACAGGTCTTCTGTTGAATTAACTAGGTTTTTATTACATGCTCAGGGTAAATCTTATTTTTTCATCCAATTAACTTTAACATACATTATGCAAGAGCTAAATCTGTCTATTGCAGGTCTTTCTTTAGGCATTAAATGTTATATAAACTATTAATTAAACATTTAATCAACTCTTGATGCCATCTGATGGGTCCGATTTAAACAGATTTGACCTGTGGTTTAATGGCCATTGGTGATGAATGGTAAAAATGGATAATCAAGACTTTGTTATCGAGACTACAATGTTATTCAAATGAGGATTTCTCAGCTCAGAGTACAGAAATTTGAGTGAAATTTTCAACATATTCCCTTTTCATTATCTATTTCTTTGCTATTATAGCGAGAACTGTCAGCTCTTCATCTAATCTATCATAATGCCGCTTTAACATGTTTTCATTGACAGGATGGCGGGAAGAAGTCTTTTCAAGCAGAAACTGTGACTGAATCCCCCCAAGTGGTCTTCATAGCCTACAGGGTATTCTATACAGGAGATCTTTCAACATAATAATGCATTGATTGATGACCTGAATTTTAGCACAATATACTTAACAAGAAAAGCTGCCTAGTCATTTGGATGGGACAAAAGAAAAACAAAGGTCATCCGTTTACATTGTTATGTATGTACTGGACAGAAATTGAATAAGGCAGAAATACCACTGTCGGGGTAAAATTATCCTTCAACACTTATTTATACATATAAAAACTCCAAAGCCCCATTCCAGTCTATACTGTAACTGTAGAGCAAATGGCTGAACAACAAAACACAACAAACACGAACAGATTAAAAACTAGAAACATGGAAATAAATCAGCTAAAGATAAATAAATGTCAAGCGGTTATAACTATGTTAAGAATATCTATGTCTAGACAGTAATATCTTTTAACCATAATAATCTTCTTCATTAATTAACGTAACATAGTTAACTAACAATTTACAAAAGAAAAAACATTCCCCAATTTGAGTCTACAGTATAAATGAAATGAAATGGGGTTTAACATCATGCTTTTCTGCAGCAATTGGGCTAATGAAGAAGGGCTTAAAACCAGGGGCCGATTGGGGCCGGTCCCGGCCCAGGCTCCCGTGTCGGAGCAGCCCCTCCGCGGAGCCTGGACGGGGGGTCCTGGGGCTCTCCCCTGAGAAAATTTTGAAAAATGAGCCCCAAATATGCGATTTGGTGGCATAACTGATTATAATCGATTAATTTGGACCAACAGCCTGACCTGCAAGTAATTTACAACCATCAACCTGTGAAATTATCATATCGTCATATTATTAATTAACGTATTATCATTGTATCGTCAAGAGTCAAGAGAATTTAACTGGTTAAAAAATGGGACTAGTTGAGAACATTTTGACCATTCCGAATTCCGGCCCACACCCGGCCCAGAAAGTCTATTATACTAGCACATTCCAGACTACAGTGATGAGTGGCGGCCCGTTAAAGCCACCGGTCACATACAACATGATTATCATCGCTCCATGGCCAGTCCAATACGGCCCCCCCCCCATATAATCTTCAGCAGAAAAAGGTTTTTTAGACAAATTGGACAAAATTATTTTTTTATTTTGTCCGACCGGCCTGATGGCCCAATCCGCCCCTGCTTACAACATGCAGTATGCTATGAGGGAAATTTTGCAAAGAAATCGGTGTTACCGCCTATTTTAAATTCCAAATGTCAATTTTGTTTTACAAGCATGAAAATGTGTACACAAGATCTTAGTTTTTTATCGCATCAGAACGACTAGACATTGTTCCTCGTCAGACCCTCTGTCCTGAAGCACTGAGAACAGGAAATCACGCCAGAAAATTCCGGAGAACTTTCTCCACTAATACCAGAATCGAATTTCAGGCGATCTGGTTAATATTTTAGGTTTTAAGAAATAGATAACAATGAAGCCTTCATCCCCTCCCTTCACTCTTGTGAATCATATTGCGCCATATACCATCAAGGGTATTTCAAATAATTGAGCCATCAGCACAACAGAGATTATATTTTGAAATGATCTAAAAGGAAACAAACTAGTGTTTAAAAGATCTGTAAATTTTTTACGAACTCCAGCTGATATATCACAATGAATGATTTCTTTGTATTTATTATGTTAATTAATTATATTAATATACGTACTTGTACTAGAAATTGGTTGTGTTGGTGTGTTGCCATTAGTTACCACACGAGCATCAGGTTCATATGGTTCATCACCTACTGAAAAAAAATACCAAACTTATTTCAACATAATTAATTGTATCATAGTTCCATTACTTACAAATGCAGACTGATATTTTTTTTGAGGGAAGACTGCGATTATTTTCATGTTAGTTCTTGATTGATTCTTGTCATACAATGATAGAAGGCCTACCATGCTAGACAATGATTGTATCATGCCAGACAATGATTGTATCATGCAAGACAATGATTGTACAATGTCTGTCATGATTTTGATATGAAGTAATGGGGTTATTACTCTGTGATTGCACCATGTTCTACCTTGAATGGGCAATCTGTAAGCCATATCATGATTTATCCTAATTTTACAATCACAATATCACATGGTCACATTATATATTTAATGCCATGATTGTAAATGTAATACTATGATTTCACCATGCAAACTCATGGTTGTAACATGAAAGATCATGATTGTACCATGCCAGGCCATGATTGTACCTTGTTATATCATGATTGTACCATGTGATGTCAACATTCTTCCATGTCATATCAAGATTGCATCATGATTGTAAATCGTTATATCATGTTGTAACATGTCAGGTCAAGGTTGTTACTTGTTATATCATGCTGTACCATGTCAGGCCATGATTGTTACTTGTTATATCATGTTGTACCATGTTAGACCATGATTGTTACTTGTTATATCATGTTGTACCATGTCAGGCCATGATTGTTACTTGTTATATCATGTTGTACCATGTCAGACCATGATTGTTACTTGTTATATCATGTTGTACCATGTCAGGCCATGATTGTAAATTGTTATATCATGAGTGTACCATGTCAGACCACAGTAGAGGATCTAGAAGCTGTGAATAGTTGAAATCTCGGGCACCATCCACAATCCAGCCCCACAATGAATGTCGACATAGATCATATTGCTTATAGTGGTTCACTATAACCGTGAATATGATAGTAATGAGATAGTATAAGACCACAGCGGGGTGGAAGAATGATGACACAAGGGAATTGATCACGCGGCATGCGCATAATATGTAATATACTGAGCTTTTTATTTTTACGACTGGACCTGTGAGGAGGGGATGGGGGCGCTGTCGCCATGGAGCCCCCCTCCCATCCACCCTCACTTTAAAATATATTTGTACCTGAATATAATATTCTGTATATAATATGGTCATTGTTACTAGATGTGAAGTAAAATGTCCTTCAGTTTATGTATGTACTTTTGTCTAAATTAAAACAAATATAGTGCAGAGTGATATTCTGTGTATATAATCATCTCTCTAGTAAAATGATAGTTGGTCCAATTAAACTAGAAATAATGAGAATAAATGTCCTAGTCTACTCCGAACAACTATTATCAAGACCGTTAATTTGACTTTTAGGATAATTGAATTTTATCGACCATGAATTACTACAGCAGATACAAACCTATTTTGTTTCGGTACAGTTTCAATATCTACATAAACCAAGTAATTATCTCGAGCAACTATTTTACTTTTCCAGAACTGGGAATTAAAGGACATGTCCATTTTTAGTAATTCACTAGTTCTCTGCTTAAACCACCAAAATAAGCCCTACATGCATATGCCATCATATACAATGAAAGTTAATGGCTCACTGGGTACCTGCTGACAAGTTTTGAGGATCTATAACAACGCTTATCATTTAAATTATTTAAATTCCCCTGTCATGTTTTGTTAAGATCTCCTCTGTAATTAATTTTTTGTTTGATAAATAAATAATGTTAAGTCTATTAATGTTTTGGGCAGTTCTACTAAAACCAATGTTGACCGACACATAAGTTGAACAGTGAAAACTGTTCAAACAAGGAAATTATACAACTTGATAGAAAACCAATAAAAGCAGAAACGTATTTCATTTTCCTAGGAAATATCACATAAAATCTGATACGATAGATACATGTATGTTATCTATAAATAATTGTCTTTCATTTTCTAATAAAATATCCCAAACCTGCATGTGCTCTCCATATATGAACAACTACAAATCTGAACTTAATTTCCTAGGGAATATAGCTTTAATTAACTGCAAATCATCATGCAATAGAAGTATGACAAATTTAAAAGGTTGTTTTCTTTTATTTCATGTAATATATTTAAAATAAATTCTATCAATTGTTCCCCATATACAAAAATATATTTCATTTCCAAGGGAAACGAGTGAAAATTGCCATTTTTTGCAAACATTTCTTGTTTTTTCCATGGGAATATAGGTTCAATAATTGCAAATTATCCAAACCTACAGATGCGTGCTGCTTCCGATAAACAAAACACAGCAAATAATCCAAGCACAGTTATTTGATTGTTATGAATAAAAACTATTATTTTGTTAAATGAACACTGGCAAAGAATGTATGTGCACATAGAAAACTGAAATATTGATTTCCGCGAGAATATGACGCACTAAACTTTCCATTGTTCTAGTTCAAGGAATATTTTCAATAAAATTTCTCCCTTTGATTATATAAGAAAGTTTATGAGTATAGATATTAATGATGAAATGATGGCAGATGTAAATGTCATGAAATGATTAGTTCATTAAAGATGCATTATGTAAAAGCTAAATCTGCCTGTTGTAGGTCTTATATAAACTATTATTTAGACATTTATTCACATGAATTATCGGATATTGTTGCACATCAATAGGTTTCTTGTCACCTGAACATAAACACTGTGATTTCAAATCATTTGGAAATCAACTTTAGCCTCTAGGGCGGATCCACAAGATTTTAAAAAGTGACCAAGGCCAAACACCCTAGGAGTAATTGCAGTCTCATACACACACACACACACAAAAATGCAGAAACACAGGAGTTTGCAAATATTTGGGGAAATACGACCGACCAAGGTCATTTGCTCTATACTATATCATACTGTGGACTTGATACATATTGTGGTCTTTATCCTGTAAATAAATACGTTTTTGTCCCCCCCTTTGACCACACATGGGAAAAAATACAATATAACTGTTTATTGATGTATGGCACAATATCACGGCAGAACAGTGGTTTATTTATTAATGTGATCAAACGAGGAGCATATTATGTTTTAATACCGACAAATGGGGACTTTGTGTATGGTGAACACCAACAATCGAGTACATACACACTCACATTCGAGGACGTAACAAGTGTATGTCAATCATATAAATTGAGTGGGTTCAACACTCTATATACGAGAACAGGCACCCTTTAACCACAGGAGCAGCCCACTGAAAGCCACTGAAAGAACATTTTTTATTGAATCAGCCACTTAAAACTTTTAATTTTCCAAACCAATCTGACTGAGGTCTTACAGATTGTATGTAAACATTCAAGGACTTGACACTCATTGTGGTCTTTAATCTTTAAATAACTACAACCGTTTATAATTGATGTGCGGTGCAATACCGTGATAGAACAGTTATTTATTAATTTGACCAACCGAGGACGCACATTATGTTTTAATACCGACAAATGGGGACTTTGTGTATGGTGAACACTAACAACCAAGTAAAAACACACTCACATCCGAGGACATTATAAGTGTATAATACTTGTTTGTTGCAATATTACAGTAAATGATAATCCCAAAATGGATCCTCATTTAATTATTTACAAGATGTTAATTACTTTTAAAGACACTAATGTGAATCTTCAAGATATGACAATGAATTTCCAAGGCACTAACTTGTAAGAAACATTTTGCATGTGAGGATCGCCCTTTGATTGAAGGTGAAGAGTTAGATGAAACTAATTATTCTTGAAAAGTCAAGTTGACATCTTGAAAAGTCAAGTTGACATTTGAAAAGTCAAGTTGATATCTTGAAAAGTCAAGCTAATATCTTGAAAAGTCAAGCTAATATCTTGAAATAAAACCGTTTAAGATTACTTGAGCTTTTACACTACTAACTTTTTAAAATTTTAACTTTAACTTAATCTTTGAAGATATTAACTTAAACTTTTAAGATACTAAAGATACATTCTCACGAAAGTATTTATAGGGTAGTTATTTCCAATAAATGTATGGCAAATTTGTTATATATGGGAAGTAGAGACACCCAATCTTACTAGAAAAATACTGGATGGGGCAGGCACTGGGCAAAGATATCAGGGTATTACTTACTGTCAGCCTGACGGCTTATTGTCTGCCAGATTGACTAAGGAATCAGTTATTATTTCTTAATCGAATAATTAAGTGGTTTGAACATATAACAGACCCATCAATCAAACGGCGGAAAAATAATTTGGCAGAGGATAATCAAAGAATTTACTTAGGCTTCAATGTGTACAGTAAATGAACAGTAAGTAACGACAAATACATTCTGAAATGGACCCTCCCTCAATCAAATAACGTAACAAACATGGCTTCTGAAATAGCTTTTTACATCTTGGGGCACTTCCTCCGGAATACAATACATGATACAGTTTGTACATGGGAAGGCATCTCTAACTTAAACATTTCAGATTTTAACTTAATTTTTAAGTTATTAACTTCACCTTTTAAGAACTTAAATTTTTTAAGATATTAACTTAAACTTTAAAGATATTAACATAAACTCTGATATTAACTTTTAACAAACTTAAACTTTTAAGATATTAACTTAAACTTTTAAGATACTAACTTAACCTTTTAAGATATTAAACTTAACCTTTTAAGATATTAACCTAAACTTTTAAACTACTAACTTGAATTTTCTAGATACTACTTGATATTAACTATTTCCAAGATACTACTTTGAATTTTCAAGATACTATCTTGAATTTTCAAGATAATAGGCCTAGCTTGAATTTCCAAGACACTAACTTAAATTTTTAAGATACTAACTTACATTTTCAAGATATTTACTTGAAACGAAATTCCCATTTATGGAACATTTGTTTATGACACATTGATATCAAATCTCTTAACGACAATTCATCAATCTAAATGTTAAAAAGACTTTCATAACAAGACAAGTTTACCTATTATGTATGTTTATTTGACATACTACTTGTATGAAATACATGGTTT